CCATCTGGCAGCGGGCTCTGTGGAACCTCTTTTTTCTGATGGAAACATACACCACAGACAATCCTGGCATTTGTGGTACCTTTCAAATAGAGAAGTGGTTTGATTTTAATAACCACATACAATTTGCATGTATTAAGTCCAGTTTGATTTAGAATTTCCACCATAGCTATACATCAAAGCCCCTCCCCTCCCCTTCCGTCAGCCTGCCCTATGGGATGGAGGGATGGAACTGTGTTGGTGAATCACCAGCCCTGCTGGATGTCTCCTTTCCTTCTCTTTGATGCTCTTGGCTTCACTAGTGCTGGCCCCAGGGAGAAGGCCTTAGAGGAAAAGCAGTCGTTCTAGTACCAGAGGCCTCCATTATGACTGGCATCCCAAATGCTGGTTCTGTATGGATCCCTGGTCCATGCAGTTCTCATAAGTGGCATATTTATACATTCTTGGGATTTCCTCTCCCAAATACTTTTATGCACAAAAGCATCTTACATCTGTGATCTGATCACTCCAGCAAGTAGCCCTTTGGGGTAAAATCTCACCAAAAAGGCTGAGGCTCAGTTAACATTTGTGTCGTCCAGGTAGCCTATGAGAATGTTACACACCCTTATCTCACTAAAGATAGCACAAGCAGACTTAACATATCTCACCCTCTTTCCTCACCTTGCCTGTGATGGCTGCTCCATGCTGCACCTGTTTTCAGATTACTCCAAACACCTGAGACAAGTGCCAGCCCCTGGTGCACATGTGGCCCCCAGGCCCAAGGACACCTGCCAGGTCCTCATAAGAGTACTCTGCTGGTTTTCTGTGCTGGAAACCAGGGTGGGCTCATGGGTTCTGCAGCTCAGCGGGCAAGCATGTACCTCGTGTGTCTCAGTATCTTGGAGATGCCATTGTTGGCATGGGAGATGGAAGCAGAGTCTTTCCCTCTGCTCTCACTAAGTTAGGACCAGAACCCCCATCTAAATTTAGCAAGTCTGGGAGGAGGACTCTTTCGATGAATACCTGATTTGGGCTTTTACTGAAAGGCCGGCAGTAGGACTTGCTCCATCCCTTGTTCTGCTTCGCTCACCGTTGCTGCAGGAGCCTGTCCCCGAATGCACACTCCATTTCACCGGGGGTGTCCTTACCCCTGCGGTCAGGGAAGGTATGCATTTACCATTTAACAGAGTTAAATTTAGAGAATTGGGATTGTAATCCAGCTAATACTTGTTAGGTAGCATAAAGAACGACTGATCTGTAATCAGAAGTTTGTGTCTCATAAGGATTTTATAAGATAAAATTCAGTAGTAGCTGTCAATTACTGAAAACAGAATTCATCAAATGACACCTTCCATTTAAGCATTGCTATTATTAGTATAATTATGTAAGTAGGAATCAGGTGACAGTATTTTCTCCAAGTTTAATATGTAGAATAAATAAAATAATAAAGGTGAAAGGTTCTACATTAATACTGATTTTAAGTAACATTAGATTTTAATTTATTGGTACAGAAACTTTACATTTCTCTGTAGTTTTGAATAAATTTAAATTTACTTATTTTTATTTTCATTTTACTCATGGTGATCTTCATTTCTGTACCCAGCTGTATATCCTTCCTAGGAAAATCTACCCTCTCTTAATGAGCCTGCAGTTGGTAGGAATTTTGATTTTTAGATATAATTTGTAGATATAACTACGTTAGCAAATTGGATCCTGGCATCCACAAAATTCTCATTAATAAGAACCCTACAAATCATAGGTGAGCTTCAAATAAGTCCTTCAAATAGTATTTACCTTTTATAATACAAATCTATTAAATCAGTCAATTATAATTTAGCTCCAGTTTATTGTAATAATGAAAATGGCAACTCTCTAATCTTGCTTAGACATCTTCAATATAAGTCTGTATTATAACGTCACAATTAGAATTGCATTGTTATTTCTGCTGTGCTTTTATTTTATACTTTATTTCGATCAAGTGGAGAAAGCCTTCTATTTGGGCAACATTGCAGAGTCCTTCACAGACTGAGATAGGCATTTCTAGCTAGATCTTTGACATTTTCCCATGAAAACTGGATCTTGGCTATGATTCAGAGTAGCTTAGTCTTAACCACCAATGGCTCGTCCCTTACTGTGTAGCTCTCCCTTTGCACTGGGCCGGGTGCCATTCCCTTGTGCAGCTCTCCATCCTGTCCACCCATGTGCTGTCATCATTACTTGCAAACTTGAAGGTACACTTTGGACAGGCTTGCCTTACTGTCAGAGAACACTTAAGTTAGCAATCTGTTACAGTGTTAATACATCCATCAGTGAATTCCCACACATGTGAACTCCCATCACCTACCTCCCTCTTTAATTAAATGTGTGTCCACTGGGAACTCAGCATTCTGCAGTGTCAAGATATTGTCACTACTTGTATGTGAGACTCCTGACTGAGCTGTGTAGGTACACAAAAATGCACTCTATTTCTAAATACACCCATATCAAATACTCATTTTAAAATCTGCATTGATATAATTGAAAATGTTCTATGTACCCCCTATTTGAATTTTTAACTATCTGACTTTGATCATTGTTAAAAAGACATAGGATGAAAAATAGTAGATATACAAAATATATGTAGGTGATGGAAATATGTTAAATATAAATAAGTAAGCAAGCATACATATTTTAAAAATCCAAAAATTAACACAATAGTTAATTCTATTGGGAACTTTAGGGTAGCTGTAATAGATTGTACTTCTCAAATAATTATGCAAATTCTTACACAATTTACCTGGAACAGTAAGTGTGCCCATCAATGACTTGTGGTAAAGCATGAAAATTATAGCTTCACATTATAGCCTTGTTAACATTTCAATTAAAATACTCATAAAAAATGTTTGTTCTGGAACAGATGTGAACTATTTTAGAAATTGGATGCTGTCGAAAAAATAAATATATGTATCACTAAAAATATTAGTTGCTAGGGAAAATTTTGGATATGTATATGAATTCATTCAAAACCAATTAAGAGCAGAACTAGTTGAATGCACTCCTGTAACAAGTAGCAGGGAGATGAGAGTTCTTCAAGCTATTTAAAATGATAAATTAACAGAGAACACTAAAGATTGTGAAAACATGCAAGACTTGGCGGCTGAGGCAGAGCTATGCTGTTTCACTCTGTTCTAGAAGAATGTAGTACAAATAAGATTCTAAAAAAGCCCAATTATATGGCTTCATGATGATGTGTATCTGAGTATGTGTATACGTGGAGAGGTGGTAGTTCAGACTGCTTTGATCCCATAATACAGGAAAAAACAAAAACAAAGTTAAATAATCGTGGGCATTTATTTTACATATTGAAAAATCTACTGGGCTTCAGACATGTTTTGATCAGGGCTCCATAACATGTCTATTTGATTGCCTTCACTTTGACCTCTCCTAAGAGGAAGCTTAATCCCAGGCTGTCTCCATTACCATAACACAAAGGATGCAGTAATTGTGGGTTTTACATTTCCAATTGCATCATCCATAGAAGGGAATCTTTTTCTTCATCTCCAAATGAAACTCATCCCTATCCCAAATTCTGTTTCAATGTGGTGATCAAGTCAGTTCAGTGAAAAAGTCAGGGCTGCTGAAAAATAGCTAGAAAAGAAATAAATGCTGGGGCAAACCCCACAGTGTCTGCTATTGGGGAGAATGTGAAACAGGAAGCTGGAAAGATAAATAGGGGTCATATCATGTCAGCCTCGGGATAGTTTCCAGGTTTACAGTTATGCAAGGACAGAAGGGATTTAGACCTATTTTTAAACAGACCTCTTAACTAAAGACTGTGTTTTTCACAGAATTAAACATATTCTACTGTAACGTAAAAATAAAAACAGGGCTAGAATATCAAGGACTGCAAATATAGAATAATGATAATGGTATGTGATTATAATTAATATAATTAATTTGATTCCTTGCCCCTCTGGTGCCTTCTCACCTTTGTTCATGCCAGTGTTCTCGTCTTAATCCACTCCGTATAAAGGAGGACTATTCCACCTGGCAATTCTAGTTCACTCCTCTCTTTGATTTCCCTACATGGCTGCACATCTGTCATGAACTAATTTTATTTCTGTATTAGTATTTATTTCTCTTTTCTAGAAGGAAGCTCCATGAGGGCAGAAATTTTGAACTCTTTTGAACCTTGAATTGGAATCACTATTCCATTTCTTAGGTGTAAAATAAATAGTTGATGGATACATTAACATATATCCTTATATTATGTTTTGGAAGCACTTGCAGATTATGAGGATGGCATTATAATGACTTTTAAAGAACATATTGATTAGAAAAGCACTCACATATCTTTCTCAGGTCGCCGTGTCTGATGCTGTTCCTAACTTACCTGCCCTCTCTCCAGCCAAGGACAGTGTATTAGTCAGCTCAGCAATAACAAAATACTGTTGACAGGGTAGCTTACACAAGAGATATATTTCATCACAGTGCTGGAGTCTAGAAGTCCAAGATCAAGGTTCTGGCCAATTCCGTTTCTGGTGAGGGCTTGCTTCCTTACTTGCAGACGGTCAGCTTCTTGCATGTTCTCACAAGGTCCCATTCTTATGATTCTTTTAAGTTTTATTACTCCTTATTCCAAATACAAAGGGGTTCGGGCTTCAGTATACGACTTTGGTGCAGGGGTGGAGCTGGACACCGATATTCAATCCATAACAGACAGCTTCCCTGTAGGTCCAGTGCCTAGAAAGAGGTTGGGCTATTAAGCCTTAAATTATAGAATTACAGTGGAACTCAATATCATGTGATTTTACTGAATACATACTCTCATTATTGAAATCAGGGAATTTATGAATAGTTGTTCACTATATCTATAAATAGCATGAAACTAAATTGGTAGTTTGGTAGTTGAAAATCACCTTTGAACACTTAAGTGATGCAATAGTGTAAGACGAGGCCATTGGTTGGACCCTGTGTCATGCAAATTGAAGTCGGGTGCATCTAGCTTTTATTTATTTATTTATTTATTTATTTATTTATTTATTTTAAATATGGGATGCTTCATAAATTTGTGAGTCATCCTTGCGCAGGGTCCATGCTAATCTTCTCTGTATCATTCCAATTTCAGTATTCGTGCTGCCGAAGTGAGCACTGGCTTTTTAATGCACAAAATAGAAACTGTCCGCTTACATCCTGACTTACACAAAAGGAACTTCTGATGGCCTATTAGACTTTTCTGTGTGTTAATTAATACATCATCTTATTTCATGACAGTTTTTTACAAAAATTGAATCTAGGATTGGTCAGTTGTGTAACATGTGCACTCAATCAGGGAAATCAAGACATGGAAATAGGGAACAGACTGACAAACCTCAGAGGGAAGGGGTTGGGCAGGAATAGATAAACCAAAGAACGTATATTCATATACGCATAACCAGTGGACATAGACAACAGTGTGGGGAAGGCAGGAGGAGGGAGGGAGCAGGAAAAAGGTGGACAATGGGGGAAAAAAGGGAGGACATCTATAGTACTTTCAACAATAAAAGATTTTTAAAAATGGCAATGCAGTAGCCAGATCCTATCAGTGAGAGTAGTGACCCATTAAACTGAGCACTGGAGTTGGTGTTTCAAGTTCCCAAGGCAGTTTTTAACCACGTTCTCAGAATTGAACACTGCCTACCCAGTTCTCAGTAAAGCAGCAATGTGAGGCAGTGGACAGAGCATGGTATTTGGGGTTAGAAGGCCAAGGTCAGATGTTAGCTGCACTACAAATAGTGAGAGGAGGTTTGTTCAAGTGATAATCAGGTCAGTTCCATAAGGTTCACTTTCCTCAGTATCTCTTGTGTACCCCAAGAATACCTGCTTCCTAGGAAGTCCAAAAAATATCTGTTGGCTAAAATATCCTCATATATTTCTAGTAATGTTTCTTCACTGCAAACTTTTCATTTTTAAGATGATTTCTTATGGCTTAAAGTATAATGAGCATATCTAGGTCATAATAAACTACAGTAAAATTCAGATGATTTGTATAAAATATAATATGGTGGATATAGATATAGGAACCATTTTCACCATTGCATATCACAAAATATATCTTTCTTTAAAAATAGATCCATAAGCACTGACTCCAGGTATTGATTAATTGAACCTAGGATTTGAAACTCACATTTAAAGTGGTATGACAATACTTAATCCGCCGATTTAAGAGGTTTGTTGCTATTCATTTTAAAAAATAGGATACCTGTATACACACACACCAGTTATTTGGTTGCTCTCCAAATTATAATCATGCCTTATACTAAGCATTAGAAACAAAGTTGTTTTTTACGTTAATGAATTTTCTGACACAACACAATTGATGTAATTGCAAATTATATTTTATAGTAAGTGGAAAATGTGCTCATTTTTTAATTTAGAAATCAGCATTTGTTAAAAGTAATCTACATTTTAAAATTTAATGCAAAGCACATTTACTTTTCAAAACGTTGCTTGAGGCAGTTGTTTGACATTATAATTTATCAGATTGCTTTTTAAGATTAAGCTGAAAAATTAATTTGTTATAGTAAATCTTTAAAAAAAAAATTGCGAGCATCATCCCAAGCACCACAGCGATCCTTAATGAAGGCCTTTCTTTGTTTTCATCATCAGTGTCACAGTTATTGCTAATTGCTTTTTAAGCTTATGTCATAATTTTAGCCATTTAACTCCAATTAACATGATCGCTCAGATAGCATCTTTAGCAAACGCTTAGGAAATGTACATTACACCATTTGAATCTACAGCACTTGATTCCAGACACAGATTTCCTTTATAAAACATGGCATATTATATGCAAATATTCCATGTAATCAAGAATGTGAAGTTCAACTTGAATGTATCTGGTCTTCCATTTAGTTTTTATATTTAGGATGCTAAGTTTCTCTAAGCATGTGGTTTCCTTAATATTTAAAAAGTAGGGTATTATCAGATATTATGTTTTTGCTTAAGAGACTGACACTTTTTTTGATACATTTACTGGATCATTAAGGAAAACATTTATAGCTGATGGGTTTCTCAAGCTCTCCTCTTCCACTGAGAACTTGGGCAAATCCACCCTCTTTACAGGAGGGCTCCAGCGACCTCCCTCACACCCGGCACCCTTTTAACTGATTGGACTGTGCATTTGACAAAGATACTATTAATTGTTGTTTACCGTTGTTTTTGCTGTTGTTGTTGTTTTGGTTCCATCCAACTAAACTGTGAACCTTCTGTGAGCCATGTCCTATTTCTCTGTCTTGGTATAGAATGGAGCATTACCTCGTCACTGCACACAGGTGATATATCAATATTTGGTGATGACGAGGAACCATCTCTCGATGTTGAAGACCTGTGAGTTCATCCTGCCTCGGTTAATCCTTTCCCTAGCAGAACATATGGACTTCTATTATGGCTCACTCTTTCTCATGTGTTAGATTCATGCTTTAAGGGTATCTGGCGGAGGTGGGTAAATTCAGAGTTAGGTAATGAAATGATGAGCATGATCCTTGATTTATGAAACAACCTTACCAATATATGATCAAAGAGAAGAGGACTAAAACCAAATCCTGCCAATGTATTGTGACACATATACTTTTTTTTTTGAGCTTGAAAACTCTGTGAGAGTCCTCAGAATTTATATTTTATATTATATTATGATATGTATGGCTTCACATCATGTTGGAAGTGGCATGATTATATGGCATGCTAGAATAGTGTATTTAGCATTCAGTTGCCCTAAGAGGCTTAAAATAAGGATGTGCTAGTTAAAGACCTGGTTATGAAAAACATCTAGTTATCCCACCCTATCACAGAAAAGTTGGTGCTTTCATGTTTTCCATAAACATTTGGAATTCAACTCAGTGCTCAGCTTACATCCTTCTCAGAGATTTGCACTCTGGGAATTTTCTTTCCCTGGTAACCACACGTGAAAGTCTCCTCAAGCAGTCTTAGTAATGACAATTGTGACCACGTTCCCTGCTGATTGGACTTGCACCATTAGTGGGTCAAGTTAATTTCCTTAGTATCTTCTTGAATGATTTATCAGCAATTGTCAGTACTCTCATTTCTACTTTAACATCTTTTGAAATAATATATAGAATGAAATTTATAACCACTGATCTTCTGGTCACATAAATATGGTGATGAAAATGTGCCATGCATTTCAGTACAAATTAGTTCTGCTGAAAGGTTTTTAAATCATGGATCTATGTTCTGATGGAGTGGAATGAATAAGTAAAGAGGATAAAATTATTTTAAAGAAAAAAATCTCGGTATGAGAGTTAACATGTTTAGGTGGTGGTTCCGAGGACATGTATTGGGATGTGTGCCAGTCCTCAGTGCCTAGCCTGTGATTTGGATATGCAAAAGCCTCTGAAAACCAATAGCCCTTTCAGGTGTTCATGAAAAAGTCATTGGTGGCAAAATCTGACCTGGACTGACACAGTGTTTACAGTCATGGTTCATCCCACTTAATGGGAACATTCATATTTTTGCCTCAGAAATATCAACATGTTTGGTTACAAATCTCATCCCAGACACTGCTGGTAGTTGACCCTTTCTAAATCCAAAATAATTTAAAAATAGAAACACGTGCAATTCCAAAGATTCAGATAACCAGTTGAAGAGCCTGAAAGAAACAAAGGTTAATTGTTTTCATTAAGGAAATGATGAGGCCATGATCAGGCATAGAGAAATGTTGCTATGGTTAGGAAACTGTTGGTTCATGTGTCAACCTGCAGGGAATGTCTGTGATTTATACTTTTGTTGGTGTTGGTGTTGGTGCCTGTAATAGAAAGATGATGGAAACCAGGTGCAGGTGAGTCCGAGTCCAATGGACAGACCAACTAGAAGGGGGAACCTCTTGGAACAGGACCTGTCTGGCTGTAATAGAGATGAACTTCTGGTACCTATGAGAAGCACCACAGAACAGTTAGCATGAAACTGCTTGAAATCCCAGAGCTACAGAAAAGCCCTGGAAAGATCTGATTCTAAATTAAAGAATTCCCAGTGAAAGTTGGGGTTGGTTTAAGTGATAATGGATCTTAGTACTCATTGAGCTGCATTGATATTGCCTGTTAATGTCTTTGTAACCCCTCTAGACCAAGGAGTACATCTGTATTTTGAAGAGGGGTTCTCAGCTCCAGACAAATAGCCCGCCAGGTGGTTAGTGTTCATTAAATATTCGACAATATGTGAATGGAGTGTGTGTAGTTATGCTTCAGTTACTGTACGTCTGTCTGCACATTATGTTTCAAATCTGTGATGTGTAATTTGTGGTAGAGTAGGGGAGAGAAAGAAAGGGGCCATGTGTTTCCAGAATCCCTTTGGATGGAGAAGTGGGACTTATTTTCAACTACACGGCTCATGACATTCCAACCATATTATAATAGTTCATGGTACCCTCCATCTGATGAGGATTTTCCTAGTTTTCTTTGTACCAAAGTGAAACATAAGGGTGGAAACCAGCTTAGCTAATAGCACATAACTTAAATACAACTGTGAATCATACAGGTTAATTTATGGGCTTAGTAGTTTGGATAATAATGGTCATTTTAATATATATTTCATAGAAAACCATGGCATGCATTTCCTTTGGGTTAAGTAAGCCTTTGGGAACATGCATGAGTGGTCTTGGTACATGCAAATTGGACAAAGTTCCTAAGAGAAATGTCTAGTGTTTTACAATTGGCTTTGCCACATCTTTTTTATTTTATTTTATTTTTTATCCTCACATTTTTCCATTTTTTGTTCAGGTAGAGTGGGAGGGAGAGAGAGGAACAGAGAGAGAGAGAAACATCGACGTGAAAGGAGCACATCGAGTGGCTGCCACCCGCACAACCGACCAGGGCCGGGGACAAACTGCAACCTTAGCGGTATGCGCCCTTAGCGGGAACTGAACCTGGGTCTCTCAGGACCGCAGGCCGACGCTCTAACCGCTGAACCAAACGGCCAGGGCGGCTTTGCCACATCTTTAATAGTCATACGATTCTCAAGTTATGTTAGAAATTAAGTCTACATTTTCCAAGACTGCCCATAGTAAATTGCACCATGTAGATTGCAACTATGAGATATGGACTATTTACCCCCAATTCCTCCGGACTTCGTGATTTTGGTGCCGTATTTGCTGACATAATA